TTTTCTCTCTCTCTAAAAAAAAAAAAAAAAAATCAATGGAAAAAACATCCTCAGGTGAGGATTACAAAACACAAAACAAGACGAGGGTCATATTTATCCCCTGCGGCTCACCACGTGTTGCTCTTCCCAGCTGAGGCGGTTCACAGAGCTGCACAGAAGCCCACACTCCTGCCACCCAGGAACCTTTCTAGGGTGAGAGTTGTTAAAGGGAACTATTTGAAACGTGCTCCCAAGTACAGGCACTGACATCGCGGTGACGGTGACCTGCGGACTCCCGCACTCAGCTCAGTCAAAACGTCACGTTGTGACGGGAGCTGGCGAGGATGGAAGCCAGAGCCGCCCGCACGGCGGGGGGAACGCAGCCGCCGCGGGAAACAGCCCGGCAGTTCCTCCGACCAGAAAACAGTTACCATCTGACTCAGCAACTCTGCTCCTAGGCGTCAACCCGAGAGAAGTGAGCGCACGTGCCCACAGAGAAACGCGTCCGTGAACAGCTGTAGCAGCACGACTCACGACTGCCAAAACCTAGACACAGCCCAAACGTCCGTCGACTGATAAATAACACGTGCTCTGGCCGGGCGGTGGAATATTACACAGCCATGAAAATGGATGAAGCCCTGAAGCCCCGACACCTGCTACAACGTGGATGAACCTTGAGAACATGATGCTGAGTGAAAGCAGCCAGGCGCAGGTGGCCACGTAGCACAGGATCCCGTTTATAGGAAATGTAAGGACAAGAGAGATTGGTGGCTGCCTGGGGCTGAGGGGAACGGGGTATGGGGTTCCTTTCTGGGGTTGATGGAAATGTTCCAATATTGGGGTGATGGTTGCATGACTGTGAATCTCCTACAATCACTGAACTGTAGATTTTTAAAGGGTGAGTTTTAGCCCGGCCAGGTGTGGCTCAGTGAATGAGCATCGACCTAGGATCCAGGCGATCGGGGTTCGATTCCCGGTCAGGGCACGTGCCCGGGCTGCGGGCTCCATCCCCAGTGGGGGGCATGCAGGAGGCAGCCGATCAATGACTCTCATCATTGATGTTTCTCTCTCTCTCTCTCTCTGAAATCAATAAAGATGTATTTTAAAAAAATAAAAATAAATAAAAAATAAAAAATAAAGGGTGGGTTTTATAGTATGTGAATTAAACCTTGATAAAGCTGTTATTCCAAATAAAAATAAATTAAAAAACCAAAATCAGTGCTTAAAAAATTCCTCCCATAAAGTTAACCATCACAGTGAAGAAACACTGTCTAGTAAGTTCCTGTTGTCAAACACTAGGTTTTGCCAGGGATTAATTTTTGCCACTCTGCTGAGCGGCAGGCACAGGGCTCGGCTGACATTCAAAGGGATTCTGCGGCAGGAATGTCAGGATGCGGGTGGGGCCTTGGTACAGAGCTATGACTCCTGTTAGGGGACCAATGGCAGGAACCAGGTGCCATATCTTGGGGGGGGGCCTCTGTCCCAGGGGAGATGGCTGGAGTCCCCAGTCCCCAATCCCTGAGCGAGCCCCACTCACTTGATGCCTTCGACGGCCTTCATGTACAGGCTCAGCTGCAGCTTCACCGAGCAGTTCATGGGGATCCCCGTGACCTGTGGTAACACACACAGTGAGGGCCTGGCCTGCCTGGAGTCTGGGGACCCCCTGCAAAGTCCCCTCTCCCTGGTCCTGCTGGAGACGGGGGCAAGTCCCAGCTCCAAGGCCCATGTTCTGGGGTCTCCTCAACTCACTCTGAACCCTAAAAGGTAAACACGTGCTTCCCAAACACCTCCGGGGGCCCCTCCAGAGAGCAGGCCTCTCCCTGGATGGAAAAACCCTCATGCCTCTAGTCCGCCCTCTCACAGTGTGGCTTCCCCAAGCACAGTGACATTTTCCGTCACCACCCGCCCTCCACCCTCCAAATTCCATAAGAAAGATTTGCTGTCTCAACTCGTGGCTGGAGGAATTAAGGGCGACCTGTGTGACCGCTGGGACCCTGTGCCCGGTCCTCCTAGACGTCACCCATGGGCCTTTCCCTCTGTGACCCGACTGTGTGTCCTTCCACTGGACTTGGGCACTTCCTCCCCTCCCTGGCATGTTCCTCCAGCTGCTGCCGGTCACATCGCAGCGGGTCAAGCGCCCCCCTGCTCCCAGCACCTCAGGGAACAGAAATGAGGCCCCAGGAGCCCACCGCCGTCACCCAACCTCCCCAGGACTCGGGAGCAGAAAGGTGGCGACCACAGAAGCAGTTCCCAGGGGAGTCCTGCTCTGGGGCTAATGCCCAATAAGCAACAGACTGCCCTCAGGACCTTCCTCCCACGGAGCCCAGAAAAACTCAGCAAAGAAAGGCCACTTCCTCTCCCTGCCTCCGCGAGGACCTGAGCCGAGAGGGGAGGCCGGCCAGCCCGAGGCTGCTGCGAAACAGCTGGAGCCTCTCTCTGGCCTCTGGGACTGGACTAACTGCCTGTTTCCCAGCGTGGGATGGGGGGACCCGCACCCTCAAGTGAGAGTCCCCGGTGAGAATGGACGAGACCTCGCTCTTCCTGGAATTCCCCGGAAGTCAATTTATTTGCAAGATGTTTTCGTTGGTACCTAAACATCTTTATGGTACGTCGGTAGCCAGAGGGCTGCCTGTGGGTAATCTGCAGGCTGATAATCCCTAATTAATTTACTGTCTTATGGTCCTTTTACAGTCGTGATTCCTTTCCACAGAGATAATCAAGTTCCTGAACTATGGAGTCCGAGCAAAGTAGAGATCTCTGATGGTTTAATATTCTAGAAGTTATCAAAGCCGGGCTTCCCATCCTCCTCCCCACCCCCAATAGCTTGGTGCCTGGGGATGGGGGCCAACCATGCCCCAACCGGAAATCCTCCCCCCACAGGCTGACGGGCAGCACTCACCGGGTGGATGTCCAGGAACAGAGAATGCTCTTTCTCACTAGGGTGCAGGCCGAGCACCGCCTCTGCCAGGACCGGGTCGCCATTGTAGAAGTGAGGGTGGGAGAGGAACAGGGGTGCATCTGGAAGGCAGAGGGCAGAGGGGGGTGTCAGACAAGCAGGGGGTGTTGCCATATCTGGAGGCTTCATGCCAATCCCGGAGCCAGAAGCGGGGATGCACGGACACGGAAACGCTGCCATCTGCCAAGCACCCCGTGATGATGACAAGATGCAAACGACAATAACTAGACAGAGGATTCCTTCATTCAGTCTGAAACGTGCCAGGGAGGCCCTGGGCGTGGGAACCCAGCAGGGGGCAAGCTCTGGGCCAGGCGAATGGTGACACAGGAGCTGCTGATTCTGGAGTGGGTACAACCTGGGGAAGGAAGAGATGGCTGCGGACGCCAGGCTGAGGTCGGGGGTGGCATTCCAGGAGAAAGGGGGTTCAAAAGCAAATGCAGGAGGTGGGACATGCATATGAAGCAGACGCCGTGGAGGGGAACTGTGGGTACAAAGGTAAGTCCAGGCCAGATTTGAACTTGGATGGGGGTAGGAGCCTCTCGATCGCCAAGCCAAGCAGCCCCGACTGTCTTCTGCAGGCAATGCAGCCACAATCAGACGGGCTGAGGTGTGCACACCTGCGCTCAGGTCTCCCCAACGTCCAGGGGAGGGAAGGAGACACACCTGCTTCGCTCTCGCCCAGCAGCCGGTCCGCAGGATGGACGCCAGTCTGTGAAAGGCACTGACTCGGGCCTCCGAGTGGGAAATTCACACCCAGAAACGCGAGGTCAAACCTCTCCACCAACTGACCGAGCGAGGCCAACACCAGCACACCCTCGTGAGCTCAGGACAATGCACAACAGGCCTGATGGGCAGTGAGTGGCGAGGAAAAGAATGAGCGAGCCTCTCAAGGCCTTCCGAGGACCCAGAGCAGGCAGGTCATGGACAAGGGCTGGCAGGTTCCATTCCCCGTCCTGGTCGGGGCACACGGGGGAGGCAACCGATCCCTGTCTCTCTCACATCAATGTTTCTCTCTCTCCCTCCCTCCCTCCCGCTCTCTCTAAAAGTCAATGGAAAAAATATCCTCAGGTAAGGATTAAAAAAGAGGGGGGAAAATTTAAGGCCACCGCCTTGAACCTTTGACATCATCTCAAGCACCCCGAGGGACAAGGTCCCACAATTTGGACAACCCCGCTTCCCATCATCCCATCTCCCGTGTGAAAGGAGACCATTAGAGCAAAGGTGAGGACCCCATTTTCATAGCTGGCAAAACTCCAGGGCCCCCGGTGAGGGAGGCGGTCACCAAGAGAGGCCCTTGAAGGTGCTGGATCTCAACCAGGCCTTGGCCATGTCTCCAAGGCCACGGGGAGAAGGAATTGGACAGGGACTATTTGCCACCACCTGTCCAGACGATGGACAATAAGTCCATCTGGCTTTTTAAAAATATATATATTTGTACTGACTTTATTTTATTTTTTAAAATATATCTTTATTGACTTCAGGGAGAGAAAGAGAGACGGAAACATCAATGATGAGAGAGTCATTGATCGGCTGCACCTGCAACCCCGGGCATGTGCTCTGACTGGGAATCGAACCCTGATTGCCTGGATCCTAGGTCGATGCTCAACCGCTGAGCCACGTCCGGCCAGGCTATATTTGTGTTGATTTTAGAGAGAGGAAAGGAGAGAGAGAAAATGGATCGGCTGCCTCTTGCACGCCCCCTACTGGGGATTGAGCCCACAACCTGGGCATGTGCCCTGACCAGGAATCAAACAGGTGACCTCCTGGTGCATGGGACGATGCTCGACCCGAGTCACACCGGACAGGGCCCACCTGGATTGTTAACAGCACTCAAGCATATGTTTCTATTTTATTTTCAAACAGTCTGAGACAAACCTGACCAGGTTACACGTGCTAATTAATTTATTGTTTTATGGCACATTGAACCATATCTAATTGCCTGGGATCATTGCTGACTACAATTAAGAGACTCTACTGGGCGAGTCCCAGGCCCTTCCGTACACGGCACTGTTTGAGGACAGAGTTCTCTGGGTCCAGATTTTCAAGACTTGGAAAGGGAGATAGGTGGGTATTTCTTATCTTCAGATAAAATGCCACAGAAATACAGAAATAAGTGCACCAAGACACACGCAAGAACGTCCCCAGCAGAGCTAAGATCATGTTTAAAAAAACAAATCCCAGATGCCTGTGACCAGTAAAGGAGGTGAGGAAATTGAGGCATGCTCCCAGGATGGAATACTATACAGCTATGAAGAAGATGCCAACAATACCCACAGCAACAGGGACTGACCTCACCAATTTGACAATGGGCAGAAGAGGCCAGAAAAAGATAAAAGCGGTTATACACTTTCTGATTCCATTCACACAAAGTCCAAAGGCAGGCAAGGCTGTGGCCAGCGACCGGGAGGGGACCTGGGGAGCAGTCCGGGCTGCTCCTGTTCTGTTGATCAAGATGCTGGTTACAGGGCCATGTTCACTTTGTGGAATTTCAAACTGCACCTGCCATTGGAGCACCTTTCTGTATACGTGTTTATTTCAACAAAATAGAAAAAAACTTTACATAAATATCTTTACGTTCCCTCTCCCTTCTGAGGCCCTTTGGGGAGAGGTGCTGAGATGTGGTCGTGCAGGACTGAAGGACAATATGTGGGGGAAGCATGAGAAGAAATGACCTCGAGAGGCCGGAGGGGCCAGGTCCTGCCGAGCACAGAGCGCCAAGGCCTGTGTTACGGGTGCCCGGGGAGACGGTAACATCTGAAGCAAGGGCTTGAGTGGCCACCGTGACTTTGAAAGGTCCCTCGGGCTGCTCTCCAGAACGGTGTCCAGTAGAGCTTTCTACGATGCTGAAATGTCTCTCTGAGCCACGCACCTCGTACAAGGCATGTGTGGGTGGTGACCGTGTGACATGTGGCCAGTGCGACCAAGAACTGCCTGTTTCGTTTTATTTCATTCAAGCCCATTCCAATGGAAATAGCCACACAAGGTCAGTGACGACCAAGCTGGACAGTCGGGGATGGATTGTGCCAGGGCAGCAACAATGCAACGGGGGCCAAGCGAAGAGGCCCGGCCCAGTGGTCAGAGACGCTGTGGCCTGGACTGCGAAGGGGCGGGGGTGCAGTGGGGAGGAAGGGCTGGGGGTTAATCCGGAGGCAGAGCCCACCAGGCTTGCTGACCAACCAGAGGAGGGTGAGGAGAGGGGAATGGAGCTGATGTCCAAGCGTCCAAATCAAGCAACTGAGGCCAGAGAACACTGTGCCTGCCCGACGGTCACACCCAACCCCACAACTGCGGGTGGCCAAGTGAGATTTTCCAAAACAATCGAACCAGCCTCCTTTCCTCCTGAGATGGAGGGCAGGTCCCCCACCGCGGAGCCTCATTCTCACGCTGAACATCTCGGTGTGGGGGGCAGAATTAACATGGGGGGACGCAGCTCAGGGGAACTGGGAACATGGCCCAGGTTATCTGGGTGGACACAGCATGGTCCACAGGCTACTCGGGCGCTACGAGTCAGAGAGGTGGCTGCAGGATGGGCTCACGGAGCCGTGATGTCAGACTCCCAAACCACAGGACTGTGTACAACTGTGGTTTTCACTCCAGGCCTCTGAGTTTGTGGCAAAGTATTATGACAGCAACTAATAAACATGGCTTTTCCCCCCCCAAATTATCTCTACCACCCTCGTTATTTCTGGCCTATTGGGCTTATGGAGAGTGCATAGGGCAGAATGAGGCACACGGCAGATAAGCCGTCACCAGTCTGGCTCCCGGGCCCTCGGGTCACCGGGGTTGGGTGACACGTACTGAACCTGCACGAGCTGATGTTCTGGATGCCGGACTGCAGGCAGGGGCAGAAGCCCTCGTTGGGCGGGTAGATGGACCCGTTGGCAAATAAGGTTTCGGGGGCCTTGAACCGGAAAGTAGGGATGCCTTCGAACACCCCCGCCTCCTTGTAGATGAGCTTCATGGACCTGTGGGGGACACACAAGGAGGAGGGTGACACCTGGAGCGTGGTGGCTGCCACCAGGTCCTGATCCACACTGAGCCACTTCCCTCGACCTGCTCTGCCACCCTCGGGTCCCAGCAGCCATCATGGAGCTTTGAAACAAGAACAGAATAGACAGCCCTGGCCGGAACAGCTCAGTGGTTAGAGCGTCGGCCTGTGCATGGAAGGGTCACGGGTTCGATTCCCAGTCAAGGGCTGTACCTGGGTTGCAGGTTCGACTCCTGGCCCCAGTCAGGGCCTGTGCAGGAGGCAAGCAGTCAATGTTTCTTTCTCACATTGATGTTTCTCTCTCTCCCTCCCTTCCACTCCCTCTAAAAATCAAAGGAAAAAATATCCTTGGGTGGGGGTTAACACAAAAAATACTAATTTCACTTATTATTTCTTGCTACTTTTTAAAAAAAAAAATTTTTTTTTTTTTAGAGAGAAGGGAAGGGAGAGGTATAGAAAGATAGAAACATCAATCGGCTGCCTCCTGCACACCCCTCACTGGGAATCGAGCCCAAAACCTCGGCAGGTGCCCTGATTAGAATTTGAACTGTGACCTCTGAGCCGCACTGGCTGGGCTCTTGCTACTTCTTTAAACGTGGCCAGTACTAAATTTAAAATTGTGAAATGGGACTTTCGTTATTACATTATTATTGGATAGCACGGGTCCAGCTGGTGGTATTACACTGATGCTAAATTTCGTCATTAAGACAGCAATGTGGTTACGAAAGAAAACATCCTTGTGTTTAGAAAATACCCGCTGATGTGTGTAGGCATCCAGCTTACTCTCAAATGGCCCAGGGAAAACCTACCCTGAGAGAGACAGGGCCGGTGAAATTGGGGGAAGGCGGTACTGGGGGCTAGTAACACTTTTCTTGCAATTTTTCTCTAGGTTGGAATTTCTACTTGTAAAAAGTGGATACACGCAGAGCAAAATCCCTTCTCGCTCTGACACTCGCTGTGGGCACGCTGGGCTGGGTGCCCCTGCCAGGATATAGCTCCTGAGGATTAGGGACCTGGCCCAGCTCGTCACTGCCACATCCCCAGCATCTCCCACCATGGGCTCCGGAAAGGTGTGCTGGGGAGGCGGAGGAGTTCAAGTTCATACTGGAGAAGTCCCAGGCGAAGGAGAACAGACAGGACCCACTGCCTGTGCTCGCCCTCCGCCGGGGCCGCTGGAATTGCTCAGCCCTGAGCCCACCTCTGTGGCTGCAACTCCAAAGACGGGCCAAGACAGAAGCACCCAAAGGTCTCAACACCCAGGAGGCCCAGGAGGCCCGGAGGTTGGGAGGCCAGGAGGCCCGGAGGCCGGGAGGCCAGGAGGCCCAGGAGGCCCGGAGGCCGGGAGGCCCAGGAGGCCCGGAGGCCGGGAGGCCCAGGAGGCCGGGAGGCCAGGAGGTCCAGGAGGCCACTCACCGGCAGGCATCGGGGCTGTAGAATTCCAGCGAGGATTCGGGAGTCATGAACGGCGCCCACATCTGCCCGGACGTCCCGTTGATCATGTTGCACTGGTCTGAGTGCCAGAAGTTGACCTGCAGGGAAGCATTCAGACACAGCACAGAGGGAGTAAGTGGAAGCGGGAAGATGAAACCCAATACGGTACACAGACAGGAAGCGCACTCCCGGGCTGGGAGCCGTGGTTTCCTCTGCGGTTCGGTGGCCGGAGCCCAGTGTGTGAGGGGAGATAAAACACTTCGTGCCTGTCTCTAGTGTTCCTTTTTTAAAATGTGTCTTCCTCTGTTTCTAATGTAATTTTATTTTATTTTACCCAATATTATCTTTTGATGCTATGGATGGTGATATCATCAGTGCAATGTTTCTGAAATGTCTTTGTCAATTAGGATCCCAGGGGAAAGAATAAATCTGACCATTTGCACCCTGGCTGGTGCTGCTCAGTGGTAAGAACAGCCTGCAGACGAAGGGTCCCGGGTTCGATTCCCAGTCAAGGGCATGTACCTCGGTTGCAGGCTTGATCCCCAGCCCAGGTCAGGGTGAATGCAGGAGGCAACCAATCTCTCTCTCTCTCTCTGCCCCCCCTTCCACTGTCTCTGAAAAGCAATGGAGAAAATATCCTCAGGTGAAGACTAAGAAAAAATTATATATATATATAACCGTTTCGACAGCATGGATGGACCTAGAGGGTACTGTGCTAAATGAAACAAATTAGTCAGAGAAAGACAAACACCATGATTTCACTTATACGTGGAATCTAGAGAACAAAACAGACACAGATTCATAGGCACAGAGAACAGACTGACGGCTGCCAGATGGGAGGGAGGGAGAGTTTGGGGGCTGGGTGAGAAAGGCGAAGGGACTGAGGAGTACAGATTGGTAGTTACACAACAGTGGGCGTGTGAAGTGCAGCACAGGGGACACAGTCGGTAACAGCGTAGTAACTATGTATTTTGCCTGGTGGGTACTGGAAATATTGGAGCGGACACTTTGTAAAGTATATGATTATCTAACCACTATGCTATACACCTGAAACCAACATAAAATAATATCGAACGTCAACTGTAATTGAAAAAAATAAAAGAACCACGGGACAACCGCTCAGTTCCTAGTATACACTGGGTGCTAAATATGTCTGATTTCTCCGCCACACCCATCCAGAACCACGAGCTCTGAGCCTTAACCACAGGTGACACCCCAGCTCCGAATGTCCCCCTCGCAGATGTGACTGCCCCCGAGTGTTAAGAGGAGGAAGGGGTGCGGGGAGGTGGCCCAGGCGGCCCACACCATTCCCTCTGGCTCTCACCTTGCTGAGCCCGTTCCACTTGTCCACAAGGTGGATCCGGCTGAAGTTTTTGATCCCGGTGAATATGGTGAAGAGACCGGAATTAGAATTGTTGAGCTGCGGACACAGCAGAGAACAGAATCTTTAAGCCTCAGGATGGAAGGGAAAGGGACCCCGGGGCCAGCCCTTGAGCCTGCAGGCTTTGTTACAGGCTGTTCCCACATCCCCACGCCTGGGGATCGAGAGAAGGAGGACTTGAGGACTCTCTAGGAGGGACGCCCTCCTGATGACAGTGTCCCTCTGGGAAGTGTCCATTCCCCTTCCCGGCTCAAGGAGAGTCTGGTTCTCCTGTCAGGTGAGTAATAGGGTCTCCCCACCCCCCAAACACACACTTAAAACAAAGCAACGCCATGTCACCCCTTCAATCAGTAAAGAGAACCAGAGGTGGCATGTCATTCCTGGGGGCAGCTTTACGCCCGGCACGTGCACATTTCACCCACATTTCACCATGGAAGTGTCACATGGCAGCCTCCCTTGGCTAGGTCCCTGAGTGACCACACAGAGCAGAGGCCCCCGGGGGCACCCATGCCCAATACAAGCAAGAAACAAACCTTCACTCTTGAGCCACTGAGATTCTGGGGCTCTCATTACGCAGCATAACTTGCCTGTCCTGACAGATACACTTTCTATACACCGAGCCCCAGGCCTCGGCACAATGAACCAGGGACAAAATCACGATTTCTCCCTCCCACTCCCCCCAACAAGATATCAGCAGAGTCCAAAGAGGAGGCTGAAGCTGGAGCAACCCTGGGGGCTCATTAAAAACTGTTGTTCTGGGAGCCAAGGTCAGGGTCAGAGGTCAGGAATCGGATTCTACAACAGGTCATGGCTCAGGAGATCTATCACTGACCCCACCAGGTTCAGGGGTCAAGAATAAGAAAAATTGGGCAGCTCGGATCCATGCGACGGTTGGCACATACGACCTGCCTGATGGGCACCTGTTCCCACGTCTTCCGGCAACAGATGTCGATTGTCTAAGTTCAGCCCCGATCACATCATTTGAGCCTGAATCAAACCGTACCTGAATCCACCATCAGAGTTCTCAGGTACATGAGACAAAAATCCTCTATTTTACTGAAGCCACGATGAGCTAGGCTTTCTGCCATGTACAACCCCCAGCCCCCAGGGCTCCCCAGCCAGCTCCCACAGCAAGCCGGGAACTGGTTTCCAGGATGAGTCACGGAGGACAAGACATAGGCCCTGAACTTACCTCAGCAAACAGCCCGAACTTGCCCTTGATGGGGAACGTGCCCGGGAAGTACTTGTTGATGACGCTTATGAGGGGGTCGTCGTAGCCCCACATGATCTCACCCACGGTGCGGTTCATGAAGGCGCGCTGGCGGAAGGTCATGAATGCCAAGGTCATGAGCAATTTCAGGCCCATGGGCTTCTGCTCCACCATCACAGCACTACTCTGCAGAGCAAGGGGACAGCCTGGGTCAGGGGCTAGGCACAGCTGCTCCATCCCCCTGGACTCGAAGCCAGGCCTCAAGGCAAAGAGCCCACCCAGGGAAATGTCTGGGCAGAGGGAGGGACCCTGCAGTGGACGTGAGGGGGTCCCTGACCCTCTGGGAACAGGGCCAGGTATGCTCTTGGATTCATGCTAAGTCCGCCCCCGGCCCGAGACAGCTCAGGCCTGGCCAATCAGAAACCGGCCACCTTCCAGCAGTGATTGGTGTGGCCCGTCAGAGCCCACGGGATCTGCTGAGGCTGTGGGGTAGAGAGGGACGGTCCCCCTGCTGGCCTTGAACCTGGGATGTGCAAGGCTGTAGCCACCCAAATGGGCCTATCTCCTAGAGCATAAAACCAACACATCTAACGCAGAGGGTTAGCAGGGAGCCCTTAACACGACGGCCCGAGGCTGCCCTAGCGAGGCTGGCCTTGGCTGGCATCCGGGAACTTGGATTTCGGGGGGGGGGCTCCCTGATAAGAGGGGCTTCCTGCGACTGGACTGTTTGCACAAACCATGTGGTTTCTGCTGACACCTGCCATCGTCCGGGGGGTCTGGGATCTGGGTACCTGCCAGGCAGAGGGTGCCTAGGTGACCAGCCCGGATAAATACCCTGGGAGCTGAGTCTATAACGGGCTGGCCAGGGGGCAGGGACGAGGGAGGGGTGTGGGAAGGGCGAGCTGGGAAGAGGGTGGGGCAGGTGGGGCGGGGTGAGGGGGCCCTCGGGCAGCCTCACCAGGACCAGGATGTTGGGCATGACAATGTAGTCGCTCTCGGAGCCGCTGGACTTGTCTGGCTGGAACTCGAACCTGCGGAACTCGAGGAAGGACACCGTGTCGTTGCTGTTGAAGGTGATGTTGTTCTTGTGCCGGTACTCCCTGCGGAGAGAAGGCTGGTGGTCAGCGGGCCTGCAGGGAAGTGGGGCGACTCCAGGCTTCCTGGGGGGCCCTTGATGTCTGCGCACGTCTCCAACCTGCCAGTGCCACAGCCGAGCCTGGCCACCCCCAGGTCCCTCCTCCCGCCGTCTGCCCACCGCAGGACACGGCGACAAAGCTTCTGTAAGGCTCATCGGTTACCCCAGAGCGCACCCCAAAGCCCAACGCATTCCCTCCGCCTGGCCAACCTGCCTCCATCAGGGCTCTGCTCACACGTCGCCTTCTCAGAGAGCCCACCCCGGTCATCTCAGACCTAAAGTACAGACCCCTCTCCACCCCTAGGTGCCCCTTCCCCCTGACACTAAGGTAGGATTTTACTTTTCTTCATCCCACCTCCCCCACTCGACTGCAGGCGCCCAGGGCCTTATGGTGCATCTCTGGGTCCCCTGTGCCGAGGACAGTCACAGACACTCACTAGGTGCTCAACGGACGTTTGTTGAATGAGTGTCTGTCTTAGTCCCTGCTGTTACCCTCATACCTGGGACTGTGGTTGGCACGTAGTAGGTGTTCAATAAATGTGCTGGATGACTGAATGGCTAGGGGAGAGCTGTGAGACCCTCCAAGGGCCCAGGTTTGGGGAGCAGGTCCCTGCTTGCAGTGTGTGTGTGTGTGTGTGTGCTCTCCCTCGCCCATGTCGCAGCTGCCTCGCTGCTCCACACAGGACTTCTCAGCGCCCTCACTTCCCCCTCTGCGCTTGGCCTGCGAATAATCTCTGGGGCCCAGCCCTGGCCGGTGTGGCTCAGTGGTTAGAGCATCAGCCCACACACGGAAGGGTCACGGGTTCGATTCCCAGTCAAGGGTATGTACCTGGGTGGCAGGCACGATTCTCGGCCCTGGTCGGGATGCGTGCGGGAGGCCACCCATCGATGTGTCTCTCTCCCATCCATGTTTCTCTCTCCCCTCCCCCCTCCCTCCTTCCCTCCCTTCCTCCCTCTCTTTCTAAAAATCAATGGAGAAAATATCCTCAAGTGAAGATTAACAACAATCTCTGGGACTCAGGACAGCAGCCCCCACACCTGGTCTGCTCTGAGCGCCCCGCCCAGCCAGGGCCGCCTGTGTCCTTACCTGTACACGTAGGGCCCGCGCTCCCGCACCCGCGGCTTCCTGCCCTGGAGGATTTCGTTGGGGTTGACGACGTCGAAGAAGTAGACAGACAGGTAGAAGGGGACGGGGATCTCCTTCCACATGCTGAAGGACAGGCTGGTGGGGTCAATGCGCACATTCTGGGGACAAGACAACACGCAGGTGAGGGGGCGACCCAGGCCCTACGCCC